ATGTGCACTTACTTTTGCACGTGCAGTATACATGTAGCAACACACATCAAACTGCATTTTCTTAGGGCCTTGAAGTCTTGGAATGAATATAAGCAATTGCTTGGAGTGTTTTAGATTGCTTTTCAATAACAGCAGAATGCAAATTTTTCAGTACAGTTTCTCTAAAAAATATTTGTGAGGAATTTGGAAGGAAAAGCTCAGAAAGGGACAGGGTCTCCTCACCTTGTATCCTATGGTTTTTGAGCGACACCAATCCAAAAGAATTTGCTTAATGCTGCTTGCACTGGCGACCCCAAAACTCTGGGACCTCTTCAGCTTTGCTTTGGACTCTCCTTTGCCTCTGGAAAAAGAAAAGGGACAACAGACTGAAGTCTAGAAAAGGTTAAAAGACTCCTGTCAGCTACATCCTTCCAGCAAAATACATCATAGGGGACACCAATACACTTTTCCAAGCCCACCACCCTGCCAGTGCAGGTTTCCCTTGCCAGCCACAGTTTTCCATGCTTAATATTCTATATACCATTTTGGCTACCATGGTATAGTTTTGAGTAACCCTGGTTTTCCATGGCCGCACATCAGCCCACCACCTGCCATTTTCCCCACAAGTCTTTTGGCCTGCCAACCAGAGTTTTTTCAACCACGGGAACTTTCAGGAACCTAACCCCAGCGGTTGGCGAGGGAAACCTGTATGCCACTGGAGAAATGTAAAAAATGAAACCCCCATCTTATTGATGTCAGCAGGAAATCTTGGTTTTTCAGTAAGGCCAGGATTCACCTGTATCTTCTATTTGGATTATAAACATTTTAAAGCCAGGACCACAGCACATACTGCCATAAATAACGACATGGTATTTCCAGTTTCCTCTCATAAGCCTTAGAGTAAGCAGCCATGCAGAGGAAATTTTTTATAATATCCCTGTTTAAGGAATGGACACCTGCTGGGCCAGTAAAGTGACTAGACAACAGCAAAGGCAGCCTGTAGCTACAGCTCTGTATTTCCTGGCTTCTTCCTTTTCCAGGTTGACTATGCAATATTATTGGATCTTCAAGCTCATCATGAATTGCTTACCAAGGGCTTGATCTAACACTCACTGGAATAAATGAAAATTTCACCAGTAACTTCACGAGAGCTGGATCAAGCCCAAGATTCCCAGCCATTCAAACCTGGAGAGATATCGTCAACTAGGCAACCTCCACTATAATCAGCTAACAGACTTTTTTCCCATTATTGAGCCCACTCTGGATGCAATACTGCCTAAGGAATGACATACTTGCCACTGTCCTGTTCAAATTTCTCAAAGAGAGCTTTCCTGGACTGCGTCCCCAAAGTCCGTGGCAGTGTCTGCGACCTCACGAGCTCTCTCCTCCTTTCCACTTGGCGGTGCACAGTAGGTGGAGGGGAGTGGGATTTGGGGGTTACATCGCTGTAACTGTCGGTGACACTGCTGAAAAAAAATCACAAGAATGCAAAATTAATCTGTTAAAAGAGAAATTCTCTGGGTGCGGGGTATCATGATGCAGCACGGACATCAGCTCCAGCAGAACTCCAGGCATTTTGCATACAGGGGGATATTTTCAAAGAAACCCCAGTCCCATTTTCACAACTTACCTAAGCATTTAGGAGCTTAAGTTTCATTGAGTCAATAGGACTAAGGAACCCGAGATACTTTTGATAATTGGGCTCGCTGTCTAAATCACTAAGACCTTGCAGCACAGAGCAAACAAATGCCTAATACCTTGACAAATCTGGGCATTAGGAGCCTTAGGAAAGCTGAGGGACAGTAGGATGAAGTGGATGATTCGTGGTCATGTAATAATTTACAAACATCTGGGAAGAGAATCCTGTCTCCCAAAATGAACATCCTTCTGCGACTCAAATGACAAACAGCTGGTGCAGCACCTTTACCTAGCAGCCCATCAGAAGTTTAATACCCAGGTTAGGCTAATTTGGGAGGCAGATGCAAGCCCAGTTAAGGAAACTGAAGTTGTCTGCCCTTCCATTTGTATTGCTAAATATTTTGCATGCTGAGGATGCCTTGATATCCCCAACAGCAATGGTGATACCGCGTAATCCTACACTAAACAACTGTGCCTTTGAATTAATCAAAAATGTGTGGTAGTCAGCCTTCCCATGGAGGGCAGAAAGTCAGCCTGTGTCCTGCAAGGCGCTTGGAAACCTAACGCTGGGAGCTAAGCTCCAAGCCAGTCAAAATAAGAATGTTTGATCGGTCATGTGTGCAGTTTCCAAAAACAGACCCAAAATAAAAACTTCAACACAGCTGAGTACTTTAAAAGGAGCTGACAAAGGGCCCAGCATGTCCATTAAAGGACAATTTGAAAAAACAGGCATTGTACATCCCACACATGCTCATTCACAGAGATTAGAGCTGAGCTAGCAACAAGGCAGGTGATAGCATGGTTCTCGGCTCGCTGTATGCAGGCACTTAGATGTTCTAGTAGCACGGGGCTGCAGAATACCCTGTGCCTGGAGCCATATGTCACTTGTCTTGTCAACGCACAACCCAGTACACTGCAACCAATAGTCCCATACTGGATGGGGTATTCAGGTAGATCAGGGGTTATTATAGTTATCTGCCTAGCTCATGTAACTCCCATCCAGTCAGTAAATGAGCACCTCATCTATTAATGGATTTATCCTCCCAAGTACTGGCAACGCATAGGGGATGCACACAGGTGCATGTGCACCCCCTGAGATTGGTCACGCACCCCCTGGAAGCACCAGCCGCAAAACCGGAAGTGCTGCTGGAAGCGCCCTTCTGGTCTTGCCACTGGCTTGATGATTGGCTGCTGGGATGTCCCCCCCATATGCAACCTGGTGCCCCCCAGACTCAGGAGGCACCAGTCGCCCATGCTCCCAAGACTCCTACAAGGCAGAGAGGTAGCGGTCCTTCTTTTACAGGAGGAAAATGGATGTGCAAAGCAAATGGAGGACTTTTTCTGGGTCATGTAAGCAGGCAGTAGCAGGGCCAGTAATTAAACCTACATCACTTATGTTTCCACTTAGCACCTAAACCACAAAGCCACCCTCCCCCTCACCCGATGATGACCGCTCAGTAACCAGACAGTATTCCCAACCAGCTTCCAATACTGTCATGTTGGCTTTCATGTCAACAGATGTAAACCTCAGTTTAACCACCATCTTCAGCTTGACTGTTCCTTAGCCACCGACCTACAAACCCTATCCACTCCCCACTTCCCTGCGCCTCAAATGGGGCATCTCAAGCCCCTTCTACATACTTGGTTTGGACCCAATAGGACTCACCTGGTCTCTGTATTTAAGGAATAGTGAACACACTTGTTAGTGTAACAAAAATCAAGGAAAGGCCTACCTTTCAGTAGCTTTGGTTCCACTAGTCATTCCGTAGCTCATAGCTGACACAGACTTTGTGACAGAAGTGCTTTTCTCTGCGTAAACAGCAATAAAAACAAGATGCATCAGTGTTAAGTGTTTTCCTCGCCATATGTTTTTAATCAGCTTCCTGACACACGGCCACACACTTATTCTTCCTCACCACAGGGAAAAGTTGCAGGTTATTCTGCCAGCATGAGCTAGCAGGCTCTTGGGGAGGGATCTGTCCCACTGCAGTGGTGTTGAAGAGCTAAAACATTCCTCAGAAAGCCTTGGGACAAGCCCCTTGGTGCAGACACCGCGTCTCCAGGCAGACTCACTCTGGCCCCTCTACAAGGCGCAAGCTAAGAAGTACAGTATGCTAGAGATGGAGCCAGCGGGAAGGCAGTGCAAGAAGAAACAGAGCTACAGTGCAGCTTGCCACACTCTTCCTGGAAAGTCATATGCAGCTCTAGTCATATGGTGAGATTCAGAGTTGCTTTCTGGGCTATTTAGTTTCTCTCGGGAACCATTTCGGCCCCCCAAAAGCAGCCCAGACTCCAGCGGTTGCAAAGTCACCAACTGAGGGGACTGGAGCACCACACAGCCCTTCTCTTTCCCACGTGCCCCACTGCTGTGGTCTGCCTGTGCTGCCCAACAGAAAGTCATGTTTGCCCCCCTTTCACCATATTGCACAAGGTGTATCAGATCCAGTAACATCGGGACCTCAGGGCTAGCTTTAGGGTCCAAAGAGAAATTCCCTTGTGGGAGGCTGATTACAGGGTATGTTGATCGTAATGAAAGATGGCACTGTGGGTAATTCAAAATAACCTGTTTTCTTTTCTTTCCTTTGCTTGAATGGAACATCCCAGAAGTTTGCAAAGAAGCTGAATGGGCAAGGGCATGGACAGACATAACAGTTATACTGGTATGGCATAAGTGGAACAAAACTGATGTAACTTTAAACCTGTTTCTTTCTGGGTTATAGTTACAGCATTTTAACTCTCTTACACTGCTTTAGAGACATACAGACCTAACAGTTACTTTGTCACAGCTGATGAGCACTCCAGAGGGCCAACCCTTCCTCCCCTTTTAAAGTGGCTGAAACCTACATCTGTCGACAGCCTCTGCTATGAACTCATCTAAAGTGTGATCCAAAGCCCACTGGCATCACTGGAAAGCCTTCCCTTGACTTCAGTGGAGCTGCATCAGACATCTTCATGATGCCTTGTTACATTCTCAGCATTGCTATGTAGTCATGACCTGAACCAACTGTTCAATTTATGCTGGTTTGTGAAGAGAGGAGCCCACACCAAAACCCCAGAGCCAAACTCACAAACAGCATCCTTGCATAGTAGGATGCTTGCAAGGAAGGTAGGGAAAAGCACCCACCTGCAGTTACAGAGGTGCCCACTGTTCTCACCGAACTGGAATTCCAGGTCTTCACAGCACTCACTGAAAAGGAAAAAAGGGAAGATGTGGGCTAATTTCTTTGTTTTAATCCAAGGGAAACCCCAAGAAACAATTGTTGATTCACATGCAAACAGCTTCTCTTTCACGTCGATAATGGGGCAGAACTCCCCGTTCACAAACAAGAAAGGCTCTGCTGAAATCAGTGCAGTTCCATCAGCGTTAAACTGGTGCGATCGGAGAACTGAGCCCGTGAAGTCCTAAAATGAACATGAGATTTTGATCTCAGAGATCCAAGTAAATTAAAAATGCAAAAATACTGGTTAGAAACTGAAGAATTTCAGCTGAGCACCACAATAATTTTGGTTCAAATACCAAGCATTCACTTGCCAGCAAAAAAATAAAAAGTGGTTGTTTTTTTTGTTACCAGCTCATCAGAACTCCTTTGTCTAATTTCTGTCTCCATTTTCTTGCCTGGTCCCCTTTGTTATTCTGCTTAGTTCACCTGAAATTTCTTTACCTCCATTTTCTCATCTGTAATGGGTTCCTCATGGGGACACTGTGAATAAAACCCTATGGGTCTGATCCCAGAACCACTGGACTCAATGAGAGGATTCCCGTGGACTTTAATGGGATATCCCCTGAAGTGTGAAAATTATGTTTAAATAAATTAGGCTATAAACCCTGCAGCTACTAAGCTTGAATGAATTGCACGTCACAAAAGCATTCAACACCAAACAGCTAGAAGATGAATCAAATGGTGATTTTTACTTTATAAAAATATCAGACCTAGCTTAAGTGAACAAATTTCTTTCATAGCTAGACATTTCTCTCTTACCCGATTGGTTGGATGTTTTCATCACAGTCTCATTTTTGTTCCTGCTCTGTCCTACCAGGCCACTGGATGCATTGGCTGTCCCTGATGATGAGGAGGTTTCTCCAGAAAACTTTTCTGATACTCTGGTCACTGCAGTCACAGGAAGGTGTGGCATTTGTAAGGACACAGCAGGGGCATGTGCTTCAGGGGAAGAGTTTGACATGGGAAGAGAAGAGATCACTTCATGTGAAACCTTTGCCTGACCTAGGGAATAAAAGGAAACAGGGGAGGAAAATTATTTTATTTTCAGCTATTTTTAAAATTCAAAACAATTCCCTAGGCACAATGGCTTTATTTCATTTTGGTTTCTGAAACACCGGATTAACTAGATTAATTTCCCCTTTAACAGTACCATGTCATTCTCAGGAGACTGAGCATGCTGAAATCGAGCTTTGTAAAAGTCATGATGATGCCTTGTCCTATATGACAGTGTACTATGTTTCATTTTGGAGCCACTGTGCCTGCTGCCACTACATCTGCTCCTGGGGACCAAGTCTCAGGACTCCTTTGTTGTTTTTTTTTTTGTTTGTTCACTTAAAAGCTCTCTGCTTTGCTTTCCCCTTGTATAACATGGAGATAATAAGACCGGTTCCCCAGAAGGGAAGGGAGAGTTAATTAGTAGCATGCAGAAGTCTTAAAAAATATGGACAGAAAGGCACCCAGATTACTAAATCTTATTGAGAATAACTGGAAATTGCACTGATGATGCTAAGATTTAGGCCCAGATCCTACACTTAGGAACAAGCTTACCAAGTCAGTGGGACTACTCATAGTAGAAAAATGAAGCACATACCTAAAGGTCTGTAAGATCATCAGCACGGTACAATAATCACGTTGAAATAGTATGAAGCTAACACTTGCAACACCAGGAAGTTGCTCGTACTGACAGAACCCGACTTTACACGCAGCCGTAGTTTGCCGGGGAGGCTGGTCTTGGAACTTATTTGTCTTTCTTGCATTTCTTTCTTACCTGCTGAAGACTGATGTCCATTTTCAATGATGGTGGAATTAGAAATTTTTCTCGGCTCTGGTTCACTATGGTCATCCAGGTCCAAGCTCTGCAAAACGTAAATACACAATAGCTCAATGATGCTATGCCTTGCAAATGCTCGATGGCAGAAGCTGTGGCAACATCTAGAGGCTCCGATCAAGGTCAGGTATCTGCTATACAGCAGGGCCAATTTTTCAGTACCAGACTGATTACTTGAGCAGTATATGTGTTAACTAAAATGAATGGAACGAGTGACTTACAAGAGTGCCCAAGGACTACCCTCAAGTATATATCCAGTGGTAACAGGGCATAACACAGGCAGGATGGCTTTGCCTTCCTCCAGAACTCAGAGTAAACACCATATGTATTGACCACAGAAGGACTTTTCTTAACCATAGGCTTTCAAAAGTTTGATGCCGTCTTTCATGCTGTGGGCCCGATTCTGCAAAGGCTTTGGGACATGCATTAACACACACCCACTAGGTCCATTTAAGCCACTGAGACTGACTTACATATGCAAAGAGACTTCATCAAG